TTATGTAACTTGTCTCAGGTACATTTCCGCACCTTATGCTCAGCCCGCGCGATGATACCAGCACTGCCGCTGAATCATCGTCGACTTCATTTCGGGACTCCTGGATGCCCTCTCCTAGCCTCTACCGCTAGCCTGTTCTCTCTCTTCCTTATTCCCTTGGATTCTCATGCCATCTGTTCCTCCCGCTCCTTCTCGCCCGCTCTGTCTCTCCCTATCCTTGTCATCCCAAATCGATCCAGCATCTAAAGCCACACCCTGCGTCGCGCTCAGACCCTCGCTCCACCCGCAGCAGTTCGCAGCCCACCAGCATGACAGACAGGCATGCTCTCTAATAAGGTATGCTGCCACTTCGCCCCCGCCCCTGCCCTGGGGGGCCCGAATGACCATGTCATCACATCCTGCGTAGGCAGGCCCGCGAATAGCGCCATACCCTCCTCCTCCCAGCAGTCACCACTTCCGTACAACCCCCGTCCATGGCCCTATTCGGCTCCCCTCCCCCATGCTGACCTCCTGTCTGTCATCACGTCGTATCACGGTTCTCCCCGCCCAGGGCCGCCGGCCTGTCCCCCCCGCCTCCACGCGAGATTCAGGTGAGCCGAATTGCAGGGCCACGACGTTCGCACGCGACGGCCCAGCCGATCGCGAACCATGTTCTTACAAAAAGCAGGAAGGGGGGGGGACCGGGGGAAGACCTGCATCGTTTAATCTCCGGCCTTGCCAGTGACAATGACGAGCTGGCTTATTCCGGCCTGACTAGGCCCAACGACGTCGGCTTGTCAGTCTCGGCAGTTTGAACTCACGGTCACGCTGCATTTTTCACCATGCGCGCCCGCTGGTCGGCGTTCGGGAGAGGGCATCCGAGGGGGATAAAGGGGGGAGAGAAGGTCTGAGGGAGAGGTCACGTTGGCTCGCATGAAGTACGACGAAATGAGAGCTGACATTTGACAGGCATGGTTGACATCAATGTTTTCCTACTTGAGATCTCGCTACCAGACCTACTCTACAGAACCAGCTGATGCTGCTGCTGCCCAATGCACAGCTCGAAACCTGCGGAGACCTTACCGCCCTGTGTTGAGGGAGCTCTTAGGATCAAACTCGTGGCTCGTGATGAGGGCAGGGTACTCGACGCCTCCCTGCCTCAACGCCTCATCCATGACCTCCATGATGACGACGCTCTCCTCCCACGGCATGCCCTCGCTCTGGACTTTGCCGTCGCGCACGCACCGTGCCGCCTCGTCCGCCTCCCAGAAGAAGCCGTGACCCCAGCCGCCGCGCGACTCATCCTTGGGCAGCGGGCACTCGACGACCTCGACCTCGCCCTCGGCGGCCCCCTTGCGCACGACGCGGTAGCTGTCGGGCCGGAACGCCGGGTGCGCCACCTGGATCTCGCCCTTGGAACCCTGGATGCGGATGCCAGGTGTCTTGCCGGCGCCCGAGGCGTCCGTGTCGGCGCGCAGCGAAGTCGTCGCGATGCCGAGAGTGTTGTGCTTGGGGAAACGGACGATGATGGCTGTGCTGTCGTCGGCGCCAGTGGCGGCGTACTTGTTGAGGGCGGCAGTGACGACAGGCTTCTCCTTAGCGCCGGCGGCCTGCAGGTGGTAGAGGATCTGGAAGACCCAGGTCAGGGAGTATATGCCGAGGTCGAGAAGGGCGCCGCCGGCAAGGTCAGGGTTGACCATGCGGTGCGAGTTGGCAAAACTCAGACGGCCAGTGTCGTGGTCCTCGACATTGTTGAAGGACAGGTCTGCGGTGACGCGGGAGACGGTACCGATCTCGCCAGCCTGGACGAGCTCGCGGACCTTGAGGCTCAGGGGCTGGTAGCGGGTCCAGACGGCCTCCATGAAGAAGAGGTTCTTCTCTCGGGCCGTGGCGACGAGACGGCGGGCCTGCTCGGCGGTGACGGTCAGAGCCTTCTCACAGAGGACGTGCTTGCCGGCACGCAGGGCCAGCATGGCGTTCTGGAAGTGGTGGGAGTGCGGGGTGGCGACGTAGATGATATCGACATCGGGGTCGGCAACGAGCTCGGCGTAGGAACCGTACGTCTTCGCCTCCTGGGGGCCGTCAATCTTGGTGAGGAAGTCGCGAGCCTTCTGGGCATCGCGGGATGAGGACACGGCGACGATGCGGTGGGCAACGTCAGACACATCGCGGGTGGCGGGGTTTGTCAGGAGGTCCTTGCTGAAAGCTTCATCATGTCAGCTATGATCATCAGGCCTGGCGGCGATTCGAGAGACGACTCACTCTCAGCGATCCAGCCGGTGGCCAGGATGCCCCAACGCAAAGTGAAAGACATGGTGGGGGGATTGTTGTGGTCGGGTATTTGACGGCACACGATGCTCGATGAACGCAGCAGCGAAAGGATTGCGAGAAAATGCGCAGCAGCACCTTGTTAGGTATGTCAGGATTCTAGCAGCAGAGGACTGGTATGAACAAGAAAATGCTGTCGCCGTCAAGATGGAGAGCTGCCCTTTGTCCCCTATATATAGGTCGGAGGCTCCTCATCCATGCGG